CACACACACACACACACACACACACACACACACACACACACACACACCCCTTCCTTCTGCATGCATATGGTACACAGACATACATGCAGGCAAAATGCCCACACATAAAATAAAAATAAAAAGATGAGCAGGTTTATAAAAGTCTGGACGTGATCCACTCCTTACTGTCTCATCCAGATTTGAAGAGGACACATAGGCATCTTTGAAAAGATCTTGGGGAATATTCAGGACCAAGCCACTCAGAGAAATTGTCTAAAGAACCAAAGACATTCTAAAAGCATCTGTGATTCCAGGGGAACTTCCGAAAAAGGCCAGGTTTCTTCCTGGGAGCTGCAGCAAGGAGTCTGTTTAAAAACCAACCTTACAAAAAGTGCAACGACACTTGCCTCAGAACTCCACACTTGGTGGACAGAGGCAGGCAGATCGTGAATTTGAGCTCAGCCTGGATGACACTGCAAGATTTTCATTTTAAAGTTTTTAATTAATTAATTATTCAAAACTAAGTCAATAAAACAAGAGACTCACTTTGATTTGTTTTTCTTTTCAGGAGCTTATTGATGTTGACAGTGAAGTGGTGTTTGAATTAGCTTCCTACATCTTACAGGTGAGTTGTTTCACACACACGAAAGGATGTTTCACACCTACGGTTTGACTGTCTTACTTTTTCTAGCCACAAGATGGAAGGAATGCTGAGGCCATGGCCATAATTAGAGAGTTGTTCTATCCTAAAGGTCTTCTCATATGACCTTGAGGGAGAGTTCTGGTTAACCTGCAATCAATTGGTCCTCCAAACCCCACTTTCTTTAAGTTTGGTACCCTCTCTTGCCATGAGAAAAACCAAATGCACACCCAAAAGTCTCCTACTGTCCACCAGGAAGGCAACGTGAAACCCTTTGGCCTGAAACGGACAGGCAGACATAATAGTATCATCTATAATGGTGGCATTATGAAGTTATTCTCCCCAGAAGTGTTGCTGTCCAAGATACTCTCCCAAACTCACTGACATCCACGTGGCCTCTGGCTCTCAATTCTTTGGTATAATTGGGAAACAGCTCACAATTCCAAAAGTGGCAGAAGAAGCGGGCTGCTCTAGCCTGGCACTGTGGCATGCACCTGTACGCCCAGCTGCTTTGGAGATTGGGCCAGGGGGCAGACTGCAGCTGTCTCAAGGAAGAGAAGGGAGGGCGAGCCGAGAGATAAAGGATGTATTAAAGGAGGGAAGGGGAAACTGAAGAGAAGGAGGGGTGAAAGAGAGTGAGAAGAGGGGCAAGGAAGAAAGAGAGGAATGATGTGTGTGTGTGTGTGTGTGTGTGTGTGTGTGTGTGTTATCCAGACACATGCTCGGTTTAGAAGTTTTAGACCTAATTTAGTTAGTCAAGGGCCTTGAAGTATAAACTTCTGTATAACTTTGTAAAGTTTATATTGTGTCTCTTACTCTGGTTGGCACATGTCTGTATTCTCCCTACTCTGACCCACCAGAAAGGAACTCACTACGCAACCAAGGTTAATTTCACACTCAGAATTCTCCTGCCTGAGCCTCCCAAGTACTGGAAATTACGGGAGTGTTCTGCCACACCTGGCCTAGCATTCTTCTTCATGGAATTCCAGAGAGAAGAGTGTTGCAGCAGAAGGAAGCTGGTCTTCTCTTTTTCAGCAGAGAAGTAGCCCTGATGATAGGACACAGTCTTAATTCTTAACAATAAATGTATGATTCACTCATTTTTTTTTCTTCCACAGGAAGCAAAAGGAGATTTCTCTAGGTGAGTCCTCAAAAGTTGTTCTCATATTGGCTTAAAAATATTTTTTGCTTGTTTATTATTTAATAAAACTACTTTGCATGTATCTTGTAGGAGGACAGTGTATTAATGAGTGAAATCCAGATGTCATACTGTCAACTGAACAGGCAGTCTGACAGGGCATTCATGGTGGAAGTGAGGGCAGTATTCTTAATAAGTGAACCTCCTTCGAGCTATTAAAAAGATGAGCTCAGAGCCCAGTGTCTCCAATGGCCACTGTTCACAGGCCTGGTGTGTTGGTCCTGAGTCTGTGGGGAGCTAGGAATCACTCCTGGGATGTAAATTTGGTTGCATACAACCTCACAGTTCTAACAAGTAGATACACATCTTTTTCCTTTTCAATTTAGTCACTGACTTCCAAGAGAAAAATCACTATCACGTGTTTCAGGGAAGTATTAACAGAATAGAAATACTGTTCCTATCTGCCTTCCATGGAAAGCTGCTATGTTGAGAAAAAAAGTAGACTTTCCTGAGGACAGCTTGAGTTGTCCTGTTGAGCTGCTGGCTTGGCTCTCGTCATTCATTCATTAAGCACTGCACACAGGGCAGCAGAAATGAAATTGTCCCCAGTCTCTCATAATCTTCAGAGATCCCTCATAGCAAGGGGATTTAGCTACCCCTCAATGGAATAATAATAATATGTATAATAATATGGAATATAATAATATGTATAGACAGACTTTTTTTCTCTAGGTATTCTGTTTAATCACCGTCTACCGGGGACAGCCCAGGATAGCCTATTCTTTAGGATCAAAATCTGTCTGTAAAAAGAAATGACTATATGGCCAAGAAAGCAAAACAACAAGTCATTCCAAGGGCTGAGGCTTATAACTCAGTGCTATAACACCTACTTAACACATAATGAGGCTAGTTGTATCCCAAACAGTGAAGAAAGAAAGAAAGAAAGAAAGAAAGAAAGAAAGAAAGAAAGAAAGAAAGAAAGAAAGAAAGAAAGAAAGGAGGGAGGGAGGGAGGGAGGGAAGGAAGGAAGGAAGGAGAGAAAAGAGAAGACAAGAGAAAAGAAAGGAAAAAGAAAAAGAAAAGAAAAGAAAAGAAACGAAACGAAACGGACACACTGTTCTGGCCCAAAATGATATAGAAAATTAGTATCAACATGAAATATACATCAAATCTGGAGAGACGGTTCAGGGGATAAAGCGTTTGCTGTGCCAGCATGAGGACTTGAGTTCAAAGCCCCAGCTGTGATTTAGAAAGCAACTGTGCATCTGTACCGCCAGTACTGGGGCAGAAAGAGGCAGAGACAGGCAGATCCCTGGGACTCACTAGTCAGTCAGTCAGCCAAACTGCTGAGTTCCAGGCCCCATGAGAGATGGGTTCAAAACAGAAATAAGGAAGGTGACTAAAGACCTGACGTGTCCTCTGGTCCCCAGACTCCCCTGCACAGAGGGTGTTCTTGCACACACACAAACACACATCTGCATGTTGTCATCTCTGGAGGCTTTTTACTCTATAAATGTACCCTAACCAGACCTGAGGTGTATAGTTTCAGTCAAATACCTCAGCTAAATGGAAAGAAATATTTTAAAGTCTAACAACGGTTGGCAAACATTTTCTGTAAAGGCCACCTATTGGCTTTCCCGTATGATCTTCACTGCACTTTTTCCACGTATTGAAGGAGAGTCATGTGGTAGGAGAACTTGTTCTGTTTCAATAAAACTTTATTTAGAGAAATGGACAGTTGATATTACATAAATCTTCATGTATCAAGAGTTTTTCTTCCTCTCCCTTCTTCTTTTTTCCTGTTTCTCCTTCCCTCTCTTCTCACTCACCTTCTTTATTTAAAAATGTAAGAACTACTTTTAGTTCACAGGCCATACAAAACAAGAGAGGATGTATAATTTGAGCCTGTGAGCTCGAGTTAGCTGATTCATTGGCCTAAATCGTAGTCCCTTTATCTCAGATCCACTGTTTTCTGTAACGAGAGCTCTATGACAGCTTTGCCTCGATCTCAAGTCTTTGGCAGGAAGCAGAGAGAGAAAGAGAGTGAGATTTTTCACTACATAATGGGTATGAGAGGCCTCAACTGGAGACCTTGAACCTGGCATATGGCCAGTGCCCATTTACTGAATTTGTTGAATGAAGCTTGTTCAGCTTGTAGAAACTACAGCTTGTAATCTGTTCTTTGCTCCTTTCTTCTGACCTGAGTTTGAGATTAGATCTGAGGGTTTCAAAAATGTTGAGCCCACCTACAAAAAGACTTCTGCAGTTCTGTGAAAACTGGTTGAAAGTCCACAAATTTAGTGGGGTCCAATGTCTAGTCTACTAACCCTGAAGAGACTTTTCCATTGGCCAGCTCGGAACCCTGCTGCAAATAGTATTTCTTTTTGAGAGCACCCTGACAGGCTGGAATGTGGACTGGAAACAACCTCATCTGTCCCCACAGATCACAGGAATGCGGCCACACAGACCAACCTCCAGGGAGGAGGAAGAGCAGGGCTTGGCCTGCCAATCCTTCATGGCCCCCTCGTGGGCTCCAGCATGCCAGCGTGTTAGCTGAAAGCAGATATGCAAAGGGTGTGTCATTGGTCAGAACTGTTTAGCAGCTTTTTGTAGCTGCAGCTGTCTAGAGAGAGAAGTGGCTGTCGGGAGAAGAGAAGGTCAGTCAGTTCATGCGAGGTCAGTTTGTCTCATCCCATAACTTCACCCCACAGAGTGCCGAGGGGAGCTGTGATGTGCAAGCCCCTGAGAGCACACCGCTTTCTGAAAGGGGCTCAAGATCAATAACACTTCAGAATTCTCAGGGCCACTGTGCAAACCTGAGGACTATAGTTCAGCATATAAAAAGCTGGGTATAGCTTGTGTGTAGCTGCAGCACTGTGAGTAGGTATGGAGACAAAGACAGAAGGATTCTCCCAGTGCACATTGGCCAGACAGCTTGATAGAACAGAGCTGCAGGCTCAGTAAGAGACTCTAAGTGTAGAGCAATCGGGGAAGAACCCTGATGCCAACCTCCAATTCCCACACACCTGCGTGCACATGTGCTCATACCCACATACCACATCCATACACTACACACATGAAAAATAATAAATATTAAGAAAATTATTACCAAATAATTTTGGTAATAATTCTACTATTACCAAAGTAGAATCTGCTTGAATTGGGGAACATTTCTCCTCATCACCCCCCTCCATTTTCTCCCCGTCATCTTCCTCCTCCTCTTCCTCTTTCTCCTCCTTCTCTTCTCTTTTTTGGTTTTTCAAGACACGGTATTTCTATTCTCTATTTGTCCTGGAATTCACTCTGTAGACCAGGCTGGCCTCTAACTCACATAAATACATGTGTGTCTGCCTCCCAAGTGCTGAAATTAGAGGTGTGTACCACTACTGCCAAATCTGAGGTTTCATTTCTTATGTGTGCCTCTTGCAAGCCACTTCTAGGAAGGTTCTCTAAAAGCAGGAATTGACCATAGTTGGTTTGTTGGCTGAATATCAGGCATTTTTGATTTGCCATTTTTATTATTTTAATTTTGTAGAAACTAGAGTTTGACATTACTCATTAACACATGGTTCTTTTAATTTGTAAACATTAAAATAGTGAAATGAATAGTTTTAATTTGTAAACATTACCTGTCATAAATATGCTCTCCTTAATAACATCAATAAAAATCAGCTTAGAAATACAGACATTTGGAGAAGGCTTTTATATGTTTAACACAGGATCTAAGGCTCACTTCCAAGGATACATAGAGTCTAGGTGATCAATAGCCTTTTCAATTAATGGCCTCACACAAAAATCAAAGTAACTCTGGGCCTGGAGAAATGGCTCAGTGGTTAAAAATACTGGCTTCTCTTCCAGGGGACCTGAGTTCAAGTCCCACCATCCACCTGACAACGCACAACCATTTACAACTCCAGTTCCAGAGGATTAGACACCCTCTTCTGACATCCAAGGCCACTGCATTAATGCAGTGTACAAACATGCAAGCCAAACACCAACGCATATTAAAATAAAGTTTAAAAATTTAAGTCAAAGTAATTCTTTCACAGCCTGAGGTGAGGGGTCTTTGATCCAATCCTTCCTAAAAGCCTCTCTTGCCCCAGGCCCTGCATCTCTACCCTCAGCAGTTTGCCAGGTGTGATCTGATTAGGTGGAGTGAGCATTAAAAACCAACAAACCATAGGAGCATCTTTGTTGAGGCACAGGAGAAGGAAGGTTATCTCTGCAATTGAGAGAGGCGGAAGTGCTGACATAGCATGCACTAAAAAAGACGGACATGAAGACGGTCCTGGGGAAGAGCCACTCTGCTGTGGCACTCAGGGCTCTTTTGGCTCTTCTCTGGGCCTCTGTTTACTCCACACATCCCAGGAGGTTTTCTTGCCTGTTTCCTCTTCCAGTCAGGAGAAATGCTCACATCCTCTTCTTGTAGTTTTTGGAAACAGGGTCTCTCTACATAGCTCTGGCTATCCTAAAACTCACTATATAGACCAGGCGACCCTTGAACTCCCAGAGATGAGCCTGCCTTTACCTCTTGAGCACTGGGACTAAAGGTGTGTGCTACCACAGCCAGCATTCTTACTGAGTTCGACAATAAAATACTGGGTTAGCAGTGCTGAAAGCCAATGGCTGAGGTATAGACAGTTAACTAAATAGTGCCTGTGATAGTGAGAACTGTGTACCGTGCATGCTGATATTCGGTCACAAGGTGGACACATTTGTATGCTATCAGAAAGGGGTAGGAAATAGTCTTATCTAGAAATAATGTTTTCTCACTTGTATTATTTTCCGTAGCACAGCACAAGTAATCTCGTTTCGTTTCCTAATGTGTGTTCATGTTTAAAAACAAATCGTATGTGTCACCACTCAGGAAGTGAGCAGAGTTGGCATTTCTGTTTGAAAACAGTTAAACAGCCTCCGAGCTATCAATCAAGGCAGCTATAGGTGGAGTGCATCCAATACAGAATAAAGCAACGTTCTCATGTAATCACTAGGGATCCAGATTA